TCGATGTCGAGATGATCAATCTAAGGGTTTTTCAACATTAAAACTAATTTTTTCGATGGATTTTTGAGGGACATCCGTAGTTCTTCATTATAAGGTAGCAACCTTATATAAACTTCTTTCCGAAAATGATAGATCGCCCCTACATTATTTTATGATTTTGGAATTTTTTTAATTTTTTATTTTTTAATATCCTCAAGTTGTAAACACAACTTGGGAAACTCGGAGGCCGAGTTCCAGTACACTAATTTTGACTTTCGAGCGAACAACTGGTCAAGAAAGTTACAAAACAAAGATTTTAACATAAGAGTTGTAAAAAATGGTGAAACATTAGGAAAGAAAGGAAGAAAATGGAAAAATTAGGTGTTTTCCTAGAAAAAGTAAAAAGAAGAGAGTAAAATACTCTGTATAACATCGCCAATCTGACTCGACCAATTTAACAATCTCGATCACGTGGTTCTCTAACGAAGGTCTCTATACCAGGCCTGTTCCCAATTTCAAGCAAGATTCGGCCCGGGTATTTCCTGCTCCCGATTTTGATTCTAAGATTTTCCAAACACCGCTTGATATTTTAGGTGCACTTTGATGATAAATGAATTAAGTGTTAAATCATTGACAATTTGGGCAAATTTGAGACTATGGTCGTATCAAACGGTTAAACTACCATCTCTCCACTTTTACACATATATGGCTTGTGGAATGAAGACGAGCTCTCTCTCTCTCTCTCTCTCTCAATCTCACATGCACCGCAAGCTCCCTCTCATGCACACACTCTAAGTCGTGTTCTCTCAACCCAATGCTAAGAAAATCTGTGCGGCCAAGGTACTAGGGCCTTGGCTGGGGCAGACTTATTCGATCTAGTTCATTAGGGTTGAGAGCGGGTTGGATCGGGGCCGGATCCGATCAGATCTAGATTTGAATTGTATCCATTGGATTTTGTTCGAATCTAGATTCAAATCAGATCTTAAATATCTGGATCTAGATCCAAATATATACATCGGATCAAGATTAATATATTATTCTAAAATAAATAAATGAATAAATGTATAGAAAAATTCTTCCCAACGCTTATAGGCGAAAATGAATAGTGATTTCGCCTACCCTCACCACTGTCCAAATTTCATTGTGCGGTCACGATTGTCAGGCAATATTTTATTTTTCATTTTTTTTTCTACAAATCGGAATGACTTGAAATTTAAAGAGTGTGTACATCTTACTGAGGCGTATCTAATAAAAATATAAAAAAAATTATCCGCGAAAAAACAATAACCAAAATATTTTTGGGGTATTTGGTCACCTTTTTTCATGTAAAATATTTTTTTTATATTTTTCAAAGATTTCCCTATTTTTGATGAATACACGCTCTAAATTTCAGGTCATTCTGATTTGTAGGAAAAAAAATGAAAAATAAAATACTACCGGACAATCGTGACCGCACAATGAACTTTGGACGGTGATGGGGGTAGGCAAAATCACTATTCATTTTCGCCAATAGGCGTTGTATAGTGTTTTATATATATCTATATTCAAATTATAAAGGTTCAAGATAGAGAGAGTTGTGAATGGTGGATTTATTAATTTTGTAGTCTATTTTTTTAAAAAAGTTATTTTTGTAGGGCAATTTTGTAAATATCACTACATGACAAATAGTACTTTTGTCATATCCATAAGAGGTAAAATTGAATTTTTTAACTAAAGGATAAATACACTCTACAAATAAAATTTCAAGATATTAACTTTCAAAATGCCATTGTATTTTTGTGAAAATTTCAAATTTATCATTGCTTAATGGTAAAGTTA